CAATGCTGTGGTTTATACAAGATGTATATATTTGTATTGTTAACTGCCATAATAAGAAGACACCTTCACAAAATTATAAGTTTCAAAAAAATGTATTCTTCAAACTCAAAAATATATAAAATAACAAATAAACGATATTATTAACTATTATTTCATTTGAGTTTTCTCTTCTTGCCAGGAGGTTGCATACTTGATGGGAAAGCACTGCGTGGAATTGAAAGTGAACTACGAATACTGGTAGAAGTATTCGACTGAGATGACTGACTTTCTCCATTCTTTTCTTCTCTCACAGCTTCAGCGATTTGTTCTGTGCTTTCTTTGTTCTCCAACGAAACTGGCTTCTCACCTGGCTTCATCTATAAATCAATAATTTTAAAACTAATTGAAAAATCATGTTGGTGATCTGAAAGACCAGAAAAACTATACTAATAATTTAATTGTTATAATAATAATTATCTTTATTGCATTTGTATCCCTATTAGGATTTTGAATAAAATGCAATACAGATGTGAATAAAGACAAACAAACAATTAAAGTGAGAATAAAAATGACAAGCGAATAAAAGTAGGGGAAAAAAAATGGTAATTTAAAAGTAAATTGGAATGTTTTCCATAGTTGTGTTGGTGAATGTTTGGTTTACTAATGCATGTACATGACCTTATCTTGAGATAGCTGACTATAATGTTTTCAGTTTTTCCTTTCTTGTTTTGAAACAGTTCTTTATGTATTTTGCTATTTGTATTATTGTCTTCTCATTTTTATTATTTAAAACATATTTTAGTTTTTCTTTATTTTTTGTTAATGTGGGGGTGATAACAGCTGATAAATTGTTTTTCTTTCTCCCACGTAAAGATCACATGTTAACAGAAAATGTTCTTTGTCCTTTATGGTGTTCTTTTCATGACATTTTTTGTCAGATATGTCTGTTCATGATAAGGTGAAGCTGCAACCCATTTAATGCCAGCAGTCAAGGCTGCTCATTTTTTATAAATATCAATCGTTTCACCACCAGCTCCCTCTTGTCATCACAAATTCACCAAATAGTCCTGTTTATAATCTGCTCTTTCCTTGCCAAATTTTTTGAGTGAAAACTTAAAAATTGCCCCAATTGTGTCTGTTGCCTCCAAAATTGAGGTTCATTTCCCGAAATATTGAAGGATATAAGAAAAATCTGTGGAGAAATTTGGGACAGAAAGTCTGGTGTTGAAAATGTTAAAGTATTAAACTGATAAAAAATGTTTGAGTTTATATAGTACAAACAAAACATGACAGCTGGCATCAAAGGGTTCAAAATAAAAATCGCCACAAATTCCCACATCACAGCCAGGTTTTCTTTTCAGTTTGTGTACGATTTTGTATCTGTGAACTATTATGATATTATCATGTGGAAAATAAAAAAAATATTAAAACATTACCTGTACTACTTTGGGTGGGTATTTCTTGGCAAGTTCACCAAGTAAAACATCTACTCTTTGTCTTTGAAAAAACGAACTGGGTTCTTCCTTAGTTTTATTTTTTTTCTTTGCTTTGTCTGTGAAATGAAAAATAAATTCATATAATGAAACTATGCAATTTAATGAGTTTGCATGCATGGTGTATATATTTTTTTACATGATGCAGGCATACTAAGTAATATTGACAGTGACAATGAACTTAGCAGGTGACATTACACAGGTTTGCAAATCAAAAATTGCACTAGTATATATGTGATGGTCGATATATTGGTGTTTTGGAACTACTTTGTGATATATCTAAGTGTAGATATATTGGTGTTTTGGAACTACTATGTGATATATGTAAGCACAGATATATTGGTGTTTTGGAACTATGTACTATGTGATATATCTAAGTGTAGATATATTGGTGTTTTGGAACTACTATGTGATATATTTGAAGGTAGATATATTGGTGTTTTGGAACTACTATGTGATATATCTAAGTGTAGATATATTGGTGTTTTGGAACTACAATGTGATATATCTAAGTAGATATATTGGTGTTTTGGAACTACAATGTGATATATCTAAGTGTAGATATATTGGTGTTTTGGAACTACAATGTGATATATCTAAGTGTAGATATATTGGTGTTTTGGAACTACTATGTGATATACCAGAAGCTAGATATCTTGGTGTTTTGGAACTACTATGTGATATATATATATAACTAGATATATTAGTGTTTTGGAACTACTATGTGATATACGGGAAGCTAGATATCTTGGTGTTTTGGAACTACTATGTGATATACGGGAAGCTAGATATCTTGGTGTTTTGGAACTACTATGTGATATATATATATAACTAGATATATTACGGTAGTGTTTTGGAACTACTATGTGATATACGGGAAGCTAGATATCTTGGTGTTTTGGAACTACTATGTAATATATGTAAAGGTAGATATCTTGGTGTTTTGGAACTGCTTTGTGATATATC